TCTCACTATATACTAACTATGAAGTCAAAAAGAACTACTGAGGATGGCTATAGCATCTCTACTGGACTGAAGCCTAAGTAATTAAAGGAAGCATTCAATTCCTGGTTTCTTGTCGTGTCTTTGATCAATGTCACTAGTTTTACAGGAATTGCTTCTGGGTTTTTACTTGTACAGTATGGCTGATGAGCTGTATTAACCATTTGAGTTAATGGACTCAGTGACTATCTTGTCTTCAGAAGATCCTGGATGTGAATCCATAAGCCTTTCAGTTACACTGTTAGATGTTACATCATCCCAGGGTTAACCACTGTAGTGGTGTGCTGCTTTGTAGTGTTACAGCATTGTAGTAAGAAGTAATATCCCTAATGATCTTTAAGAGGGAGGGAGGGGGCCTTGCTTTATTAGTTACTGATTTTTTTTTTTTGGAGCAGAGGGGAATACATTTTGAAAGACAGGCTTTAAGGCCACCTACACTCAATGTACCTGATGTCAGGTAGACTTTTATTGTGAATTTTATTTGTATATTCAACTGGGAGCACTTTGTAGGCATTGCATAAACCACAGCTTTTAAACCTGTGGAATTAAGTGCCATGTGGAACTGCTGCTATTTTTAGCTTGTTCTCGCTGTAAACTGTGTAGCATTAAAACAATCATTATTGTGTTAATAGGCTTCTTGTTAAAACAATGACGTGAAACAAATCTAAGCTGCATTTTAGTGAAGGCAGCGTTTTTCTCTCAAAGCTAGTGCATTGTGAAATAATGCACCGTTTTAATATTTGGACTCTGTATTAGTGTAGTGCAATTGTTAATGTCTTGGCTATTGATGTTTTGTAATTCTTTCTAATAAGATTCTCTAAATGTTGGTGTTCTCTTCAGTTGCCTGTTGTTGAGGCTATTGTATATTTTTTCATGTTTGGAGTACTTGTAAATAATTGTTTACTGTAAGTGTTCAGGTTGTTCTTCATTGCTTATGTACATAAGTTTGATTGTGCTTATAATATACTATACTGAAAGTGCAGTCTGAGATGCCAACAGGCAGAGCTCAACTATCCAGTTTTAAGTTCCAAAATGAACTGAATGTGGCAGTCAGAACCTGTACTGATGTTGGACCTAGGCTGACAGATGTTGCTAAAAAGTAGAACTGTTTTAATTACTGGCTTGACTCTTCATTAATTTTAGTGTAAATGATGTTTACTATTTGTGCTTTATTTGTTCTTACTAGTGTTGAATTTGAATATTAAAGTTAAAAGCTTTGTTTAATATTGTCTAACACTTACTTCCACAACTATAAAGTTAAGTAAAATATTAAGTCAGGAACATGCAGTGGCAAGTCCTGCATAATGCTCGTGGTTTCCTCATGAGAGTGGAACTGACATAACTTACTCCCTGGAGGTACGTTAGGAGAGAAGCAGCACAGTCTGTGTTAGTGTCTATAGCAGTCTGTCTCTGCACCTTCAGAAACGGCACTGCGTGTTGGAAAGAAAGATGAAGCCCCTGGAAGATGTGAAGTGGAACCTATGACTGAAGATGGAGGACTAGATGAAACTGAAGAAGGACTGCATCTGGAATATTGTGTCCAGTTCTGGGCCCCTCAGTTCAAGGAGGACAGGGAACTGCTGGAGAGAGTCCAGCGTAGGGCTACAAAGATTATTAAGGGAGTGGAGCATCTCCCTTATGAGGAGCGGCTGAGGGAGCTGGGTCTCTTTAGTTTGCAGAAGAGGAGACTGAGGGGAGACCTCATTCATGTTTATAAATATTTAAAGGGTGAGTGTCACGAGGATGGAGCCAGGCTCTTCTCGGTGACAAACAATGATAGGACAAGGGGTAATGGGCACAAGCTGGAACACAGGAGGTTCCACTTAAATTTGAGAAGAAACTTCTTCTCAGTGAGGGTGCCAGAGCACTGGACCAGGCTGCCCAGAGAGGTTGTGGAGTCTCCTTCTCTGGAGACATTCAAAACCCGCCTGGACGCCTTCCTGTGCAACCTCATCTGGGTGTTCCTGCTCCGGCAGGGGGATTGGACTAGATGATCTTTTGAGGTCCCTTCCAATCCCTAACGTTCTGTGGTTCTGTGACCTGGATCTGAGGTGAGGAGGAAAACTCATAAATTGCTGAGAATGGGAAGAGAACTGCATATTTAAAAGTTGGGAGGAAAGCAGCGGGAGGAATTGGAATAGTCCAGGCAGCGCAATAACAGCATGTTCTGTGGCATGAATGCAAAATAGTTGTGCATTTTGTGTTCTACCTCACATAAAGAAGAGAGATACAGTAAAATCAATAAAATACGTTGGGAAGCTTTTACATTTGCTGTATTGAAAAGAGTCACAAGTGACAATCAGAGAAGCTGTATGTGAATTAAATGGACTATCATAAATTTTAACTTTGCAATTAGCAAATGAAAACTGCCAAGTCTTTTATTTGTAAGTTCTCAATGCTATTCCTATATAACTGAAATTCAGAGACTTAGTTTAGGTAACTTTATTCTCTGAATATGCAGTTCTCATCAGTAAAAAGCTGATAGACTGGAAGACCTGTAAGTTTTTACTTTGTGTGATAGTCTTGTTTGCGAGAGCTTGGAATATCTCATATGGCTTTGTTGGAACATTTCAATGTTTATCTACACTAAATGAGATGTATCTTAAAGCACACTTCTAAACAATAAGTATCAGCTGGTGAGGGATCAGCAAACTTAATAAGCCTTTCTTCCTCTATAGTGTAAGTAAATTTGATCTACCCATGATAATTATGTGCTCTTGCATCACTCATTTTCAGAGGCTTGTAATGTCAGTACAGGTACCGCTGTGCAAACAAGCTGTACACAGTAGCTCTATAGGCTTGCAGAGGTGTACTCTTCACTAGGCAAAAAAAATGGATGACTGGCCAGGGCCCAGAGAGTGGTGGTGAATGGAGCTAAATCCAGTTGGCCACCAGTCACAAGCGGTGTTCCCCAGGGCTCAGTATTGGAGTCAGTCCTGTTTAACATCTTTATCAGTGATCTGAACAAGAGGATCAAGTGCACCCTCAGGAAGTTTGCAGATGACACCAGTTGGGCAGGAGTGCTCATCTCCTTGAGGGTAGACAGGCTCTACAGGGGATCCGGGCAGTCTGGGTTGATGAGCCAAGGCCAATTGTATGAGGTTCGATGAGGCCAAGTACCGGGTCCTGCACTTGAGTCACAATAACTCCATGCAATGCCTATAGGCTTTGGCAGCTGGAAAGCTGCCTGGTGAAAAGGATTTGGAGTTGTTGGTTGACACCCAACTGAACATGAGCCACCGTTGTGCACAAGTGGCCAAGAAGGCCAATAACATCCTGGCTTGTATCAAATAGTGTAGCCCATCAGGGCTAGGAAAGTGATTGTGCTCCTGTACTCAGCACTGGTGAGGCCACACCTCAAATACTGTGTTCAGCTTTTGGTCCTTCAATAAAAGAAAGACATTGAGGTGCTGGAGCGTGTCCAGAGAAAGGCAACGAAGCTGGTGAAGGTTCTGGAACACAAGTTCTTTGAGGAGGGGCTGAGGGAACAGGGGCTGTTTAGCCTTGGAGGAAAAGAAACTGAGGGGAGACCTTATTGCTCTCTACAACTACCTGACAGGAGGCTGTAGCAAGGTGCACGTTGGGCTGTTCTCCCAAGTAACAAGTAACAGGACATAGGACAAGAGGAAACAGCCCCAAGTTGTGTCAGGAGAGGCTTAGATTGGATGTTAGGAAAAGCTTTTGTTGCTAAAAGGGCTGTCAAGCACTGGAACAGGCTGCCTAGTAAGGTGGTGGAGTCACCATCTCTGGACATGTAGATGTGGCAATTAGGGACACGGCTTAGTGGTGGACTTGGCTGTGTTAGGTTAATTGTTGGACTCAATCTTAAAGATCTTTTCCAACTGAAATGATTTTATGATTCTACTCTGTTGCTGGTCACAGGTTTTGTATCTGCTGTGGAAGGGATGCCCAACCTCAACCATGCAACTGAAGTGGCTTTGGATGTTTTAACTTTCTTCTGTGTGCCAAGGAGAATGTTTAAACAGGAACTTCAGGGTTTTTAAGTGGTTTATGGGAGCAGTAAGGATGGTGAAATTTTACCTCAAATTTTCATAAGCTTTCCTGAGGCCAGTGGTGAGGCTGAGAATCCTGACCCCAACAGATACCAGTGGGAAGAGGCAGAAAATTTGGAAAGTGTGCCATGTTATGAATACTCCCAACATCCAGTGATTCATGATTCAGATGCTTGCTGAGTGAGAAGTGCTATCTGCTTTTGCTGACATTTAAGGGGTTTTCTTTTTTAATAGAAACAATCTTACAGTAGTTCTGGTAGGTTACAAATCTATTGCAGAAACAGCATTTGGGCAAAACTTGGATGTAGTTAAGCGAGCCACCTTTTCAGGTGGAAGAAGCAGCTCTTAATCGCGCAATGTAGGAAGTCAGATGTCAGCTGAAGAAATTCTACCAAGCATGGTGTGAAAAGATGAGCTTCAGCACTTTAAGAAGAAAGCTTTATCTCAATTTAAGAAGCAAGCAGAGTTGGGTGGCACATATGTTACACAAAATTAAATGGTTAACATTTAATGTTTAACCATTTTTCTTGTGAATTCATCTGGCTTTATTTTCTAGCACAGAGGTAGTATAGTCCCTTAACTTTTTTTGATCAGAGCACCTGACTTGAAGAACTACGTAGAAAGAGAACATAAAACCAACTGAAAGCAGGTATTTAATATCCTCACCTCCTCTACTATTTGTCTGCTGCTTTGTCTTCTGTCTTTGAACATAAATCCAGTGTCTGTAATGCATCTTTTAATGGTATGTTATGGGACAACGTTACTTAGTCTTGCTGCATCCTGAGCCCAAAGAGAGGGTGGTGTGGTGGACCCAAGCTCTTCAGAACTAGCTTCCTGTAAAGACACGACACCACTTCACACTGACGAGTGCTGCCTTCCAAAAGAATATTCTGACATTGTTCCATCTAAACTATTGATT